AATTTATAAGACCATTTATAATGGTTATAAAATAAGCAAACAGTAAATAACCAGAAGTTTCTTGAGGGTCTAAGTATTTTTGAATATGTCTAGTGTCTCCACCAAAAAACACGTAATATTATTCAATTAGAATATAAAAACTATACCAAGCACTAAATTGATTCTGAAAACACATGAACGTATGATTGATTACATAGTAAGCATATCAGGAGAGTCACAAGGCATTAAAGTTATTGTTAAAAACAATTCTTATTTTACCAATACTATGTACAAGTCTTGCTTACTAGATTGTATTTATTGAATCCTAAGTAACTAGATTGTATTTATTGAATCCTAAGTGAACTGGTATTTAAGCAATAAGATTTAATTTTGAGATAACTTATTATTAAAGAGAGGACCTTTTCCAAATTCCAAATACAATCTTAAAGATTTCTGTTTAGGAGAATGAGTCTGTGAGGGGGTCTTTGGAAGCTGCTATTAAAAATTATTGAGGAGTCGACAGAGGACAGTCTGTCATAAACTATAAAAATAAAAGCCAGAAGTTCAGTATTGACCTGTACTTGGCAAATCAATTGACTATATGAAAGTCCCTTTGATACAGTTCTTCATTAGGCACTACTGTCCTAGAGTCAGTTTAACAAACATTATATGAGAGCTTTTTACGAGGCAGGCAGTGTGTTAAAATTAGAGTTACAGAATGATTAAAATATGGTCACTGTCCTTGCCACAGAGAATCCCAACCCAGACAGGCTAGGTCAGTGAAAGAGATCAGGACAGGATGCAGTGTGCGAGTCCAAGAGGGAATCCCCAGCCAGGGGTGTGGCAGTGGGAGATGGGGAAATGCAGGCCAGGGAAGAGTCCGTTGGAAGAGGTGATACCTAAGTTCAGACAAAACTCTCTGTGGATTTTCATCTCATTAAGAACAAATGTAGAACAGATTATTTATCATGGTAAGAGCAAACACTAAAACAAAAAAGAATAATTTTCATCTTCTACTCTTGATCAGTGAAACAAATGATTTCAAATATATGTATATATATTTGAAGCCATGATAGAGGCTTATTATTCAAACAGATTCATCTAAGAAATAAAATTCTTAGAATTTTCCCTGACTCACGCTCAAACATATTGCTCAAAATCAGATTAAATTTACCATACTTTTATCTCCAAAGAAAGTGATAGATTGTATGCTTAATGTACAATACTAATTTAGAAATGTCAGAAGCCAGACGGTCTCTCTATCTTTTAGAAGTAATTCCATAGAAGCTAATCAGAGCTTGTAGATCAGATGAGTTTCCATCTGCATATGCTTTCCCTACACAATCAATGCAGTCTGCAGTTTGCTTATGTAAAAACCATCTCAGTCTCTGCTTCCTTCCATTTGATTTGGCAATGACTCTGCATGTCCGAAAAAGTCACATGATGAGTGTTGTTAGTGCACACTCGAGTTGCTTTAGGAATAGATATTTGTAATTTGTTTTCCCTTCATGATTGTCTTAAAAATCCATCCTATCAAAAATGTTTTTTCAAAGCCCTTGAGTCCACCCTGACTGATAATACATCCAGAAGAAATGCTGTTGGAGTTTTTGCCCAGCGATTCCATGTGTTAGGATGACCGTTGATTCCCAGAACCTTTGTGATGAAAGGAGCCTTTGATAAATCATTTAGTTAAGTCTCTTCATCTTATCACTGAGTGACTCTGAGGCCTGATGAAGTTAAGTGGGCTGTTCATGTCCAGACGGCAAGATACCGTGGTGCCAAGATAGAAGACTTAGTTTCCATCTTCCAAGGTCAGAGTCCCTGACACCTTGAACTTTAATGTACATTCAGATCTCTTCGGGATCTTGTTAAAATGCAGATTCTTATTGAGTAGTTGTGAAGTGGAGGCCCAAGATTCTGTGATTCTACTATTAAGATATCAGGAGATGCCAGGTGCTGTTGGTCCAGGAACCACACTTTGAAGAATAATAAGGCTTTACCCTAAGAAAATTTATCTGAGTGAAGGTAAACATTAGCCTAAGGATAGTTTGGGTTCAGATATAACTGATCCTTTCAAAAAAGATTGGCATACCTTAAGCAAATCTGGTATTACTATACCAGATAGTCTGTGTTATCTTACAATGGAGATAAACCACCATGCCATAATGTCAGTTTCTTAGGAAACATCATTTTAGAAGTTTATACTAATTAAAAAATTGATTGGGTAAGATTTTTGATCTGCTTCACCTGGTTGTCCTGTGCTTTCTCATCTCAAAACTGGCATCCAAGATACATAAATAACAATTTTCTAATAACCACATCCTTTCTCTTAAGGGACCCATGATTCTTTAGCTCTATGTTAATTTCATGATCCTTAAGTCAATGCACTTCTTACCCCAGATAGTTCTCCCCCACTCCCCACTACCACCACACACACAATGTTGACGTGTCTTATACTATGTTCATTATATGAAACAAGTGCATTATTATGTGAGATACAAGAATTTTAATTGTTATCAAGGATGCAAAGGATGCAAAGGAACAGGTAAGATGAAATGGTCATTATAGAATATATCCCTAAATCTGGATGACCTGCTTAATTGTAGGGTATGTCCATGTGGATTTGTAGCCCGGGTTCAGAAACAAATACACAGACAAAAATCCTGTTTATTTCGGAAGTCATTATGTGAAATGAGTTCTATGGAAAACAGGTTTCCATGTATTTTCCCTATGTATCTGTGAAGACATTCTTATTCAAGCATGTGTAATGACATCTTTAGGAACAATGACCCAACCTCACAGACTACCACTCTGATTTCTGTATTTCTCTAGGTAGATCTTTCTCTATTCACAACTGAAAAAATATTCTAACCAAAAACAACCAGTTTAATTACATAAAAGTGTTTGAAGGTTTGAAAAGAGCTATATCAATACAAGATGTTTGTTGCTAAGTTTATTAATAATATACTAACGGTCATAAGTACACTTAACATTTACACAAGAACACACGGGACTAAGAACCCAGAACTGCTAGTGTTTTTATCTTGTAGGCCATTCTTCATGAAATAAGAGAATTAGATATACCAAATCACTTTGGGGGCATTGAATGTGGTTTTAAGGGGAATAAAAATATCACCCTTATATTTATAAAAATGTTTTTACATTTGCAATTTACAGATGTTTTATTCACATTTCTCTGATGCCAAAAAGGTAGTTTTTTCTTATTTACTCTGGAGGAGAAAGGGTCATGTGTAAATCACGAGGTATGTGCTATCACAGCTACATTTTATTAGGTGCTTTGCATGATAGTTTTGGTACAAATCAACTATTAATTAGAATCACAGCTCTGGGTGTTGAGCCACCTATAGGTTTATTTGCTTCCTAGAATCTTCTGATGTCCATATTTCTAGAGCATATTATTGGGTAAAATGAATCCAATATGAAATACTTTCATTACTGGTATGACAGCAACAAAAAAAGCAACTAGAAAGGACTTCCAAAGTTAAGACATCCCCATTCCATGACCTTACGAACAATATTACTTCAGGATTCTACAATTTGGATGGGTGAAACATATATGAATAAAATGACAATTTTATACCACTGAAAAATAGTTTTAGCTTAAATGCAAAATGACATCTCTGAAGTAGTACTGTAGAAGAGTAGCCCTTTAAATTTTAAAAATGTATTTGTCTTTGATTTGGTAATCAATGGATGAAGTGAAATGTATGCTAATAAATATCTGTCTCTTTCTGTCTTTCAGTATTAAAAATGAGACCTGATTTTTAATACCTTTAAAAAAAATAGGGAATATAGTTTTTCTTGTCTGTAATCACTAGAGTGTGTAAGCGCTTGACTTCTATTGTAGTATGATGATCGACTTAACATAAAAGTACCTCTGAGAGTACAGAATTGAGTGTATGTAGATGGAAGAGCTCAGGATCATTTAAATAGTAAAAGATCAGGGATGGAACCATGTAAGTCCTTATCAAAACCAGTGTTTTAATAAGGGAGGAGTCAGTGCTCAGTGGCAAAGAAGGAAATGTCAAAGAGAAGGTGACTTAGCAGCCCAGGCCATTGCCAACCCTGTTCAACTTTTCAACCTCCCTCTAGTTAAATTTCAGTTAAGGTTTCTTATGAAGACTGCAGCGAACCACAACACAAATAAACATATGCCCCACAGTTTTTATGGAATATGGTTTTCTAAATGTGTTCTTTTCCTTTCCTTTATGTCGTTCGGTCACCAGGTCATTGTAGGAATCTCCATATTCCATAGGAGGAAAATTGCCAGTCTGAAAATTCAGTGTCTGTAGCGTTCTATTGCTTATCACATTTTTGCCCTCTAGGTGCCAACCTGGATTCACTGGAGCAAGATGTACTGAGAATGTGCCCATGAAAGTCCAAAACCAAGAAAGTATGTTAAAATAATCTGAAATTTGCTTTCTCCCCCAAACTACAGCAACAATTACTACCACTTGGTGCTTTTACATTTCAGTTGTAACTGATTCCTTTTGTCCCAACAATGGTTTAAGCACTCGGGGCATAGACTCATTGGACGTGAGCTGGTTTCACAGTCTCTCAGCTTAGGGCCCTAAAGATCGGAGAGGTAGACCAGAAGGACCAGCCAGGATGGCCGGTGATGCTGGCAGCTAAGGCAGGCAGGCCAACCCACAAAACCATTTCCTTCCAACACCTTTGACCAAAGCTCTCAAACAGAAAACTGGCTCAAAGAAAACCTCAGAGTTAATTGGTAGGTGAGTCCCTTTGAGAGAAAGGTGTCACTTGAGATGCTGCCATCTTCCTGTCCTCCGGACCCTCGGAGCACATTTGGTCCGAACATTGAATCCTTTGGGGGGAACACACCCGAGTCCGGAAACCATGGTTGGGACAAAGACTCAGTTCCTGAGAGTGAATTCACCAAGTTCATTCAAATGACACTGAAGGAGCTTCTTTCTCGCGTATATTCACCTCTTCTCTTTTTCTCTGTTTTTTCTACCATTGTTTTTTGTTTCTTCTCTCAGGTGCCCAAATGAGTTTACTGGTGATCGCTGCCAAAACTACGTAATGGCCAGCTTCTACAGTACGTCCACTCCCTTTCTGTCTCTGCCTGAGTAGGAGCATGCTCAATCGGTGCCACTTTCTTGTTGCTGCGTCTCCCCTCAGATCTCACCTAGAGCTAGATGTGTTTTACCAGGTCTAACACTGACTGCCTCTGCCTGTCGCATGAGAACATTAACAAAAGCGATTGTATTACTTCCTCTGTTCGTGACTAGTTGGCTCTGAGATAACTAATAGGTGTGTGAGGCTCCGGATGCTTCTGAAATTGATACTGGATAATGTGATACACAATGATAGTCAATATCACACAGTGCAACTATAATAAAGGCATTTAAAAGTCTCACTTTTATTGATAAAATAAAATCATTCCGCTCAGCAGTCCCATCTTCTTTATAAAATGGCAACACCCCGAGAAGGATGTTGCTAAGTTGTAATCAGTAATGCACTTGAAATGATGGTAAGTTAATTTTGGCTCAGAATGTGTTATTTATAACAAATAAACATACTAAAAAGAGTTCAGATGTTTCTCTTCATTAACAGTTTGCATGTAGGTATTAAAAAAAGCACTGAGTAGGAAAGTTACGAACAAACATTTCACAGCAAATGAGATATCCTGGCTTCTCCTTATGTTGCGTTAGGAAAAAAGGGATTCAGAGCTAGTTTAAGCAATCATTTATTTATATTAGCTTTTCTTTATGCTAGCTTTAATTATAATTTTAGGGACAAATAGGTTCTTAAAAAGTATTATTTACTTTGAAATATAATAGTTTACCTCTAGGTGGATATTTTTAAATGCAGAACTGGGAAATTTTGACAGGTTTCTATGGCTTCTTGAAGTTTTGAACCTCATTCCCAGGCAACCCAGTTCACATGTGTATAATGTGCACGGATAACTAAATTAAGCAATTTGTTCTTCCGTTGTGAACTGGGCTGTCCCATTTAATTCTGGAGCTTTCAAAGCATTATATTTAAGGTTGAAAATTTTTTTTTTCCTGTGAAAGAACAGATGATTCCAAGTTTGCCGGTAATAACATCACCTGTATAGCCAGTAACTGCCAGGGTTCCACTAGAGCAGCCATAGACAATGCATTAACTGATGAGCATAGCTGTGTGCTATTAAAACTTTATTTACAAAAGCAAGTAGGTGGGTTGGATTTATCAACCCCTGATTCGGACTGTCAGTTGCTCACCCTCAGAAATATTTCACATAGCTAAATCGGTGTAAATTCACATAACACAAGGAATAGCAACATGAGCCGGTCATTTGGGGGCCCTAAAAGAATTAGATTTATCTTTACTCATGTGCATGCAAAGAATAAGTTTCAGTTCCTCCTGTTAACACTTATGGAAGAATAAATTTCATGGAAAAAGTAATTTCATATGCATTAAAGGGAGATGACATACATAATACTCAATCATTTATTTAGAGAGGTGTTGCTTTTGTGTATTTCCATAAGCTGCCCATCGAAGGTTATATCATAGGCCACTTTCTGTTGAGAAAAATTAGTAATTTGACTTTGCTAAATTTTCAAAGACAGCCTTGCGTTTATCCCCAAATCTTTAAATAATATACATTTAATGGACAGAACTTTTCTCCCCACACCTGTAGGTTAATTTTTTTAGAGGTAGATAAGATGCAAAGTAGAAATAGAAGAGAAGTAATAGAATTCTACTCAATATAGTAAGTCATTCCTTTTAGAAATCAGTTTGTATTCAAATAATACAGATTTAGCAAATCATGTGGCTGTATAAATTTGATAGCATTATATTTTAGAATTTAGTGAAAATTCTGAACATTTTTATTATACTTGAACTTTTGGTGTTACGTAGAGTTTCATTGTGTGCTGAAAGCAATGTTAGGGCACTATATAGAGAAAAGCATTTTAAAAATGAAGCTATTTCTCTAAATAATGATGCAGTTAGATCTGACAGTAGTAACCAGAGAAAATGTTTTCAACTTCTATTTTAGACCATTTTCTTTTTCATAAGCTATCATTTAAAAATAGCTATGTATTTAATCAGTGTGATTCCTTAAATAAATTCTTTAGTAAGCTTTCGGTTGTACTTTTGGAAGACATTCAGGAAAGCAGCATTCGTATTTACCCTGATGTAACAAAGATTAATAGGAAGCCCATTTAGGAACAAGATCTGTAACGGCTGTGCATCAATGCTGCTTCAGATCTGGAAATGTAAGAGCTGCCGTTCAGAAACTGCTTTCTGAAGTTGTCTTTCTTGGAGTTAATTTTTTAACTTCTGTATCTTATGTTCTCAATTTTCATTTCTGCAAATCCCTCTATAGAAGACAGGAAAATAAATTTTGCTGCTTTAAGAACGTTATGTTCAAGTTACAGTGTAGCCTGCACAAAGGATAAAAAATGTTGCCACAGTGGCAATGATTAAAACTTAATTGTTTGTGTCCATAAAGTCTGAAACCCATACATAAATTTTAAAAGAAAAGCTATTCCCCAGGTTCAAAGAGAAACATTTTTTCAACTTACTGAACTGCATTTTCAGTTAAAGAATGACATTCTAAAAGAATGTACAATTTTTTAAATGCTTATTAGCACATAACTTACGTTATTAGAATTTGATGCAATTTTTCTGGTCACAGTTTCCTATGGGCATTTATTGATGGATGAAAATGGATTTAAAGTATGAAAGAAAGGAACAAATGTATATTTTATATGGTTTTCTTGAAGGCAGCCATTTGCCTCGAAATAAAAGGTGTTTGTAATACTTTCTAGGAAAATATTGTCAAGGTTAGTCAGCTTCAAATTTCACCTATCTTGACACAGAATTCCTATTTAAAGGATTAAATTCATCACTGTAGGGGTGGGGGCGTGTGCCTATACAGACAATTCATAATTGATTTATAAATTTATTAAACATAAAAAAGCACTCACAGCTTTAATAGAGTCAGTATGGACAAGTATGTCATATATAAACTAATATATAATAGGAAGTAATTATTGATTAGTCCAAATTATAGAATATAACTTTTAACCATATTCTTGGAATGAGTAAATCCAGTAGATATCCTTAAAAGTAGTTTTGAATCAGAGGTTACTAGTGCATAAATTTATTATGTTGATTTCTAAATGCTTTAAAAACCATTGAAGCTACTAACTTATTTATCCAACATGTGTATCTTGCTGACAGTAGAATAAAGGCACAATCCTTGACATAAATTATCATAAAGTCCAACTGAGTGTCAGTGAGACTTTATTGTGTGTGTGTTGGTGAGCGTGCTCATGTGCACATGGAAATTTGGGAGCGAAGAGAGAGTCTCCTATTACATTTCAAAAGGCTCAGTGGCAATACGGATTTGTATATGTGAAAAAAAAAAGTACCTACATTTGTAAAGGTAAGTCAAAAATTAAAAGTCAGACACCAAATTGGTCCCATCTAGCAGTGGCATTTACAGAACTCCTTGAAAAGTCTCAGAGGTGCAGAGAGTCAGGACTATACATATGTCTTTGATATTATTTGCATAAGGAGGCCCAAAATATTAAAGAGTAAAATCCTGAATATCTTCAAGTTTTAACAGAAACCATGACATGCTGTACAGATAATTGTGGTAAAAGAAAGTTGTTTTATTGTTCTTTTCTGTGATGCAATTGAAAATTTAAATTAACCTACAGGTTAATCAGTTTTCTTCGAATAATTATCAAATCCTAAAGCAAAGGATTAGTGAGTCAATATTTAATAGTTTCTGAAGACTCTTAGGTTTAAATTAATTTTTGATATTGCTTACTGCACAGCAGGAAATCACATGTAGAAAAGGAAACTAAATTGTTTACAGTAACCTTGGTGTTTCTGAATTATTAATTTAATTTGAAAAATGTAGTGGCTAGACACAAGTTCAATAGGAAGCGTATGACACATAATGAGCCTAAGCCAGCATTAGATGAAATAGAACAGATAGAAAGTAATAACCTTTTCATCAAATGAAAAGTGTTTGTGTATTCTTTCCTTGACTCACAATGAAAGAAATGTGGCCAGCAATAGAAAAAATAAATTAGAGCAGTATTTGCTCCGGGTTGAAAATGACCGATGCATGTTTCCTCTGCTTGTGTCCTCGTTAGGGCTTATGGCCAGAAGAGATTCCAGTTTTAAGGACCAATTTCCCTTTGAATTATTTGAAATTGGAGCTGCCTGATATGAATGACTTCCCATGAAATGAAATTATAGTTAGGCTCACAGACTTACCTATAAAACTGTAAATGCAGTAATATGTATGCATGGGCATGCTACTAATTTTATTGAAGACTTAACCAAGCTTTCTACGCAACTAATGTAGATCATTAGCAGTGTTCATGTAGGCATGGAATAATGATTCTCTGGAAAGAGTTTCTGTAGATATCTCTTGATTTTTAACCCTTAAATTATTACTGACCGGTAGGAGGAAAAGGCATAAGATGGAAGGGATTCTAGGGAGAAAAACTGAGTCCCATCTTCAAGGAAATGTGTAAGGAAATTTCAGATCACTTCCTTGGAAAATGAATTCTTGTACTTAATGTTCCAAAGTTTATATGAAGGGAGCAAATGGGGTTGGGGGAGATGTCATTTTGTCCAGTTGAGTGTTGCACAGAAACAAGTGAAGTTCATTTGGATTTGAACAAATTGCTATTTTGCTGTGAACGTTGTGCAACCAATTTAATCCTAAATCCCTTGGCTTTTAAATTATAAAAAGTTTAGGTTATTTGCCTGAGTACCCTTGACCTAGGGCAGACCAAACTATCTATTATACATCATGCCTCTTATTGTTATTTGATATACTCTGATTTTTTTTTTAATCTGGAAGCTTTATTTCATTAAGAGGTGAAAAGTTTTTAAAGTCTAAATTCTTGGGTATACCCCAAGAGCTTTCAAAGCTTTCCTGGCCATGAATTAGTTAAAAAGAATCCTACAGGCAATAAGTGGCCCAAGGTAGATTTCCAGATAGGTCCGAGCTCTTAAACCATTTTGTTGTTGGCCACCATCTTTCATGGCTCCTCTCTTCCACAGGATCTCCCTGGGACACATATGTTAGGATCCTAAGCATTTTGTCAGTGAGAAACTAACTGATCCAAAGTTAATGAACAGGCAAATGGCAGAGGCAGGACCTGGAACTGTTACAGCTCCAGCATACTTACCATCTTATTTTCTGCTCTCTACTTGAGGTCCTTTGTCCATGCCCAAACTGATGTTTCTGTTAGAAGAACCTCTCAACTGCACATTTTCAAACTTAAGAGATGCCTTGTCTTATTTATGGACCGCCCTGGCATCTCCAGTCAGTGATCAAGGGAAGAAGCCTAGACTTCTGAATCTGTTTTCTTCCCGTTCTTCTTCCCACAGGCGTCTCCACCATACACGCACAAATAGCGAATCCTCAAGGGTCCCACCCAATGAAATTCAATTAACAATCTCTTGCTTCATTTCTGGAGGTTTTTTGTTTTTATTTCTAATTGGCCCAATTCCCCCATTTCTTCACTAGAGCCTTTCCAGGTTCTAGTAGTCCTTTCATTCTGGAGCCTCCGCTCGACACCTCTGCCAGGACTGTGGGCTGTGAGCTCAGGCCTTTGAGTCGCCTTCCCTGGGCAGCCCCACCCACAGGGCCTCTGAACCCTGTGCTCCCACCTGGGTGTCAGAGCTCAGCACTGTGGAGTGATCGTCTAATTGGTTCTCTGTTATTTGAGGAAGTAATACATTGAGATTAACTAAGGACTCCAAGAATTGGATCCTTCCCTCAGCTCCCTTCTTTTTTTTTTTCCTTTTTTTTTTTTTTTTTTATTTGGAAAAGCGAGGCATTGACAATTTGTCCTATGCCACCCAGGAGTTCTTTGAAAAAAATGGAAGTAGGCTCTGTGCCCCCAAGTCCCTCTCTGGCATTTTGGGCAGGAGCATTTGTTGCTTTCTGTGAATAAAATGTTATATAAATGGTGGAGAAAGTAGAAGGTTGGGAGCAGAAAAGGAGATAGGTTTTCTTAAAAATAATAATAATAATAACCCAAACAACAAGAAATATTAGAGCATGACCATCCACCAACTATGGAAAATGTAAGTCCAATGCAGTAAAAATTTCAGACCAAATCGCTATACTCTTGGCTTCTACTCCTGGCTCTGCCACTGTGTGCCCTTGGGTAAAAAACAGAATCACCTCTCTAGAACTTTGCTTCTGCCTTTTAAAGAGGGGAATGAAATAATACCGAATGCTTTTTTTGGTTACAAATACGGTATTTCTGTTCCCAGATGATGAAGTAGCATAGAGGATAGTTGAACAGTACAACTTCTCCCTCAGTAAGGTCTTTTAAGGGTTAATAAAGACAGGTGTGCTGGTATTTGCACACCTCTTAAAAAAGAAGAGCTCCCTATGGGGACTCACAGAGCATACCTGAGCACTGCTTCCTTAACCACCCACCATTTGTCCTGTCAAATGTGCACGCACAGAGAGCCGTAATAGTCATGTGTAATGTGTTTTGGAGTGCAGTGTATTGCTCTTTTCTGAAACTTTTTTCCCTTTCTTTCTTTTTTTTGTCAACTTTCTGCATTGGCAGAGCATCTTGGGATTGAATTTATGGGTATGGACAATCATCATTCCTTTTAGCCTGCAGAATTTAGAACCTATGAGCTGAAATCTTTTCCCTTTCTACTCTTACCTTTCAGTTCTTAACTAATTTCCTTTTCCTTCAGAAGGGATCATACAGCTATAACAATGATTTCTCTGCTTCCAATCTATGGGTAGTTTACCGAAGTGTCAGAGTACAGCAGTTTCTAGATCCCCAAACTTCACTTAAGAGTTTAAAACCACCTCACCTGCTGCAAAGTCACACATATCCTATGTTCCTTGACCTCCTGATTGGATCTGACCATGCTGTTATTGCAGAGCTGGGGTAAGTTGGAGAGATGCATAAGGCTATGGGAGGAACCAAACCTGCCCTGAGAGAACAAAAGAAGCTCTAAATGCCTCAGCTTAAAAACACGCCACATCTTAGGCTGATGAGAATTTGACATTCAATATAAAAAATCATCCACTTAATAGAGTAACATGGAAAACCTTTATGTTGCAATGCAATATCATATGCGCAGACTCTGATTTTCTGGGGACATTCAAGCGCGACTCTAGTCAACCTCATTATCTTATGAGCAAGGAAATAGAAAACAGAAAGAAATAAGCCCAGTGCTATTTTAGGTGGAAATTCTAGCACTAATGGAATTAACCTTGAGTCACTTAGATTATCCAGAGAAGTAATCAAATAGAAACGTTCACACTGTAAACATAAAATATCTCTTATCAGCATATGAATTTGGGGAATACTCCCTTTGAAGGCTTCATCCTAGATAACGGGGAGCCAGGGTCAGTCTTGGGAGGAGAGGGAAGCCATTCTGTCACCCCAGAGGCCCCACAGTGCAGGTACCCAGGCTTACTGAACACCACATGCAGCCCTCGAACATGGCTGTGAGTCAACAAAGCAATGTCCTGCTTAAAAGAATAGCTGATCTCCCTGCAGCTGGTGTCGATGACATCATGCAGTGAGGGCACCCTGTAGCATATTTGCTACTCTCTTTTGGATGATAACATCACAGTCTCTACCTAATATACTTTCCATCATTCATGGAAAACTAGGCTGTTGCAAGTTCTGTCCGTTACAAGGTAGAAATTCAATTGATTGCCCATCCCTCTGCCCAAGAAAAAACTTGGAAGAGAAACTATTCATTTGATGAGAAAATCCCCACATATATGAGTGACCCTTTGCATATCACAGAACATCTCCCAAGAGTAAAAAGCAAGAGAGTTCCCACCAATACCACTCGGGTGGTAGGTTATCTACATGATGAGAGGGATCTATTAGATTACATCCTTCAGAATAAAAATTGTTCCACTACTGAAAAGGCTTACCGGCCTTTCCTGCAGGGAGGAAGAAAAATCCACCATCACTTCTTCCTTTTCCTTAACAGCATCTTTGTCCCATTTTATCACTTTAGGGTCTAACTAGAATTTAATATTTGTATTCCCAAACAATGAGGTAGGGCAATGGATACTTCAGATATAGGCCCTCTCCCTCAGGAAGATCTGAGGGTCAGTAAAGAAACATCATGCTGGTATCTGCACACCTCTTAAAGGCAAAGGTTCCAAAGACTCCACAAGTCCCAGGACAGCCAGTGTGCTGAACCAGAACGTTCTGTTCTTAAGGAAAATCAGACCTCAAAGGTCAATTACCATTGAGAAAGACAAGGCTTCTGTCTCTTAGCCTGGCCAGATCAGACTGGAAAACATGCTTGATCTGTTTGACTTCAATGTGTCCAGCCAAACCATAAAGACTCGAAAGCATTTCCATTTATTAAGGCAGATCCACCAACTGGACTGATGGATTCTTTTTTTTCAGCACTGCCTCTAATTTGCTCTTGCCCTATTGACCCTGTCACACACTGGGGGAAAAAAAATAAGGGGAAAAGAGGGTTAAAAGAGCCCATTGTTTATATGATTGTTCATCAAGTATTTCTCTTTTAACACATTAATAAAGTGGGGAGGGGGTTCCCCTACAGTAGTAAATCACTGGAAAATGAAATAGAAACCGAAATGAGAAACATGTAGTATGTTCAGTAAATACTGTTTTGAATACAGAATCTTAATCCTATATCTGTATTCCATGGGCCTTGGTTTTGATTGGTTCATCTTGACACTTTTGCTATACCCTTTGGCCTTTACTGAGCTTGCCTTTTTATCTCTATGACCAATTACACTGGAAAAAATGTGTCTTCCCATATAACATGGGCAGAATGGTGAGTCAGCTTAGCACGTGTTCTAACAAACTGAGGTCAGTCTATTCTTTCATAATTAGCAGCCATCAAAAACCTTGTCGACGGAATCCCTGGGAGTATGAGTGATGCCCTTTTACCCCTTTAGTCCTTAGATACATGCCATTTTTGTAGTTGGCAGAAGTAACTTCCCAGCTTTTTCTAAAGATAGAATGTTAAGATGCCAGCGTCCCAAGCCCTCACCCTTTCGAAAGAAGCCAAGAGAATGAGCCAGAGAGGGCACAGTAAAGCAGGGTCCTCATTCTCCTAGTAACGATACTTACAGACTGCTGTTTCTGAACCGACTCATCACACCCAAAGGAACCCTGCGTCCGGGGCCCCTGGAAGAAGGACCAGTGGGGCGTTGCCTCCCCTTCTTAGACAAATTGCTAAACACTGATGCGCATGCCAGGTCAAGGAGGAGGCTCCTGTGGATCCTGCTCACAGATTAACACCTCATGAAATTTAATTCCCTGTCCTGGGGCTTTGGGGGAGGGGAGGCAGCAGACACAGCAAGTAACATAAAAGCATTCACATTCCACATCCTCATCTGACTTTTGCGGCACAAAAATATGTGACCCCCCCCCCCCCCACTCTATGTCTCCTGGGTCATTGTTTCACTGCAATGCACCAGCTGCTTTGCTTTCTAATTGTGGCTTCCACGTGACCGCCAGCCTAGGGTAGGAGTTATGCTGTATGGGATAACCCTTCCAACTTTGCATCCACTCTCTCTTCCTGCCCAGCATTTCCTCCCTCTGCTTTTATTTTGTTTATTTATTTTTCCTCCCTTAGTATCAGGCATGCTGTGCCAGGGACTTCAGATGGCTCCTTCACTTTTAATCTTGTTTTTCCCTCCTACCTGACTTCTTCCCATTCTCTCTGTCATTCTGTCAGTCTGTCTGTCCTCTTGGTTTGTTTTTTCCTTTCCACTTCCAACCCTTTTGATTTGTTTTTGTAAAATTTCTGCAGCATTCTAGTCTTTTACCCACTGACTTCTCTTCTCCTCCTCCTCCTGTTAATAATCAGTGCTATATTAATTTGATTTGACAATGTTCCTGACCTGTTAACTGGAATTTGATTACCATGGGCTTGGCTTGTAGGAAATGTTTTGTTTAATGATAAGGTCTACTGTATCACAGAAATTAAAATGCACTTTTTCATTTCAAGAAAAATTCCCGCGGCTTGCCCTTTCTCCGTAAAGAAGATTGAAAATGTTTCCTAAGGCCCCATGTTGATGTCCAGATAAGAGACCTTCATTTGTAGGACATCCCCCAGTTTTTGGCCAGCTTATTAATCAATTTGGCAAGTTTGGCTTACATTGCTTTTTAAATGCGGTTTGAGTTCTCTTTTTTGGTGAACTTGCGAACGTCTTCCAATAAATGTAATTAGACTGGTCGGAAGCTCAGTTCCCAAGGGATCAGGCTCACCGTTAAATCTGCCTGTTTTGTTAAGAACCTGACCTACCAAAGCATAATTAAGTGATCCCTCCCCCCAAACTGATTTGCGAATAGAAAGACTTCCATGAAGAAGAGACCTGGTTGCATTAAAGGTACAGTGGTACTATTAACCCACAGTTCTAAGCATCACATTCCCTTCCATAACGTCCTTCAGCTAATTTGCCAGGCTGGTGACTACAGGGATGTACAATCTATTCCAAGTCACATATCACGTGTGCTAGTGGTTTCTTTACGCAGATAAATTTGGTTTCTAAGTACAGTTGGTGAAGTGGTGATAACTGTCCTTCAAAGGACAGATCTTCATTTTGGCCCCAGACTGTCCTACCCACCATATTGGGTTTTCTCTGATACAGTGCCCTGCTACCCCCAAAGTCTTGCTTATGTTCTTATTTTACTGTTAAATGTTAGAGATCCTGCCTCGGTTTTATTGCTAACTACAAGTCAAGCTCATGTTTGCAAATGTCTCTGAATTTTTTTTTTTCAAGTTAGAAATGGCTCCTTGTAAAGACCACTGGAATATAAAATAGCTGGGAAATCAAAAGAGGTTTGGGAGTGGGGAGGGGGTAACAGAGAAGGGTGATGGTGGTCCCAATGGTTCCAATCCCAGCTCCTTTTATTGGCATTGATTCCTGTTGCCTTTGCAAGAGATTTTTTTTAAATTGAAAACTACAGTTTTAACTAAATAATTATTTTATAATTAATGTTTATGATTTACCAGTTAAATACATATATATCTGTAGTTTCTAAGTAATTTAATAGTATAATTTTTTTTATTGCAAATGGCCCCAACTGGCTTTGCTGTTTATGCTCAAAGTGTAATGCAGAGTATGCTGTAACTTAAGTATGTCTGCAAAAGTAATGAATTGTTACATATTTACTTTCTTGTGAACATGGACAATGCCATGCAGCATGCCAACTGTTCAGTTTTTAAGTCCTGGCAAGAATAAGGGGGCTTTGGTGACATCTGTTCTCATCACTTTCCAGAAGCGGAGGAGCTCTACCAGAAGAGAGTGCTGACCATCACTGGCATCTGCATCGCTCTGCTTGTGGTCGGCATCATGTGTGTGGTGGCCTACTGCAAAACCAAGTAAACCTTCCTCCTCCATGCCTCTCTCTCCTTAGCACAGAGAAGACGGCTTAGCTGGCCCAGGGCTTTGCAGAAAGCATTTTCAACAGCCTAGTCTTGAAAACGGGGAAGTGGGGAGGCGGGGGGGGGGGGCATTTCTTCTCATTTTTTCCTCTGAATAATCTATTTTGAGGACTTTTTTTTTTTTTCTAATCACATACCTAGAAAGCTTTGCCTATTTGTGTGAAAGTGTTCAGAAGACTTCTGGACATTCACCATGACCTGTGACCCAGGAATGGGTTGGGAGGGACGGGCTTGTGGGATGCGCATGTGCATGTGGATGAGTGTGGGCCCACCACATCCCAAGAGGACCAAGAGGACAGTGGTAGGCGCCCAATATGCACCTGTCATGTCACTGCTGAGGACACATTCCACTTTGCACTCAGACTTAGGAGATAATGGAAACACTTGGTGACGTTGGGAATGCAGGTTTTTAAAACATTATTGCAATTACTTTCCCATTTCGTCTAATGAGCTTATTGGCTCCAATGCTTTCAAAGTGTGAGATGTACAAAAGGAATCTCATGGGAGGAAAATCATGCAAATCTTGTTTTGAAAGAATAAGAGAAAACAACGCAGATCTGTGTTCACTATATCTGGTCCTTTATTAACAAACACAATTACCATGTGACCCGAATTCCTTTCACTTTTCTTTCTTACATAGAAATGCTTCAAGTAGGAAATAAGGTTAACAGTTTTGTTTCGTTTTGTTGCTTCATCACGTAAATTCTCTTGCCAAAACTAGTCATGGGGATATTATCATGACCTGAATGTTGCACTGAGGAACAAACACAATATGCTTATAGCACCACCATAAAATTAAGGGCACAGATGACATTTTCTTAATACCTTTGGATTTCATGAGTTGTCAGAATCGAGTAAATGATAGAGATAAGCCATACTGGAATCTACTTTACGAGTCTTACTATATTCTATCTCAATATTTCAATATCCATTACCTAGTTCTACAAAAAGTATTACTAGAATAAGATCATGTTACAATTGTGCTAAATCTATGGGCAAAATATATACCTAGCTGCACTCACATACAATGCTATACACACACTGTGTAGAAGGTACACAATTAGCTGCATCTTCTTAAGAGACACACAGGCAAAATTATAAATGAAACCATCCTTATCCCACTGCGCCACCCAGGGATCCCGGTGATCATCCTTATCATTGATGCATCAATTGCATGGCACAAATTGTTACCTAAGACAAATGACCATCTGTAAGGCTCAGGCAAAGATGGATTGATTACAAAGTTGAGGTTTGAGCCAAGTAAAACTTGATTTATCTTGTCTTCTCTTTCTTCTTATCTCTCAGCAGTCCAGTTAGATTTCTGTAAGAATCCCACTCAGCTTCTAAAATCTATTCACTAAGAATGTGTGATTCCACTTCTGTCCATAGGCAAATTCTGAGATGGAGTGGCATACCATCTTCCGCCACCACCACCACCAATCTCCTACCTGAGTTGTGTGTTGGTGGAATAAAGAATTGGCTGTACCAAGAAATGTAAATAAGAGAAAAAATAAATGCTCCCTTTTTCCTATCCAGGAAACAACGGAAAAAGCTTCATGACCGGCTTCGGCAGAGTCTTCGGTCTGAACGCAACAACATGGTGAACATAGCAAACGGGCCTCACCACCCCAACCCGCCCCCCGAGAACGTCCAGCTGGTGAATGTATGTTGAGTCTGGCCAATGGAAAAGCTCAGCATCTCTCCTCTGTTCAGGCACCTTGACATTTATTTTCTAAAGCTCTTAGGCTCTTAGCTACTGCCATTAATCACCCCAGCTTCCAGGAATGCAGAGTTTTGCCAGGACAAAATAATGGGAACATTTTTTAAAGTGAATTTGGTTACGGTAAAACCAGCACATTTCCTCTTGTAAAGTGTTCATTAAGGGGTTGGAATCATAATATTGGGTTCGTTCTGCAGGAAGGGCATAACTGGAAGAAAGAAAAGAAAAACACATAAGAAAATAATAAAATTAATCATACAAGAATCAGAAGGAACTTTTTTTTTAATGATTTGGAAATGAAAGCTTCTCTATTTTTTTTAAATTTATTTATGATAGTCACACAGAGAGAGAGAGAGGCAGAGACATAGGCAGAGGGAGAAGCAGGCTCCATGCACCGGGAGCCCGACCCGGGTCTCCAGGATCACGCCCTGGGCCAAAGGCAGACGCTAAGCCGCTGTGCCACCCAGGGATCCCAGCTCCTCTGTCTATAACTGATTAGTACTGATAACTGAGCTAAGGGCTTTAGAGTGATCTTTTTTATTTATTTTTTATCTTTTTAAATGTATTTATTTATTTATTTATGATAGTCACACACACAGAGAGAGAGAGGCAGAGACACAGGCAGAGGGAGAAGCAGGCTCCATGCACCGGGAACCCGACGTGGGACTCGATCCCGGGTATCCAGGATCGTGCCCTGGGCCAAAGGCAGGCACCAAACCGCTGCGCCACCCAGGGATACCCCAGAGTGATCTTTTTTAGAGGCATCTCCCAGCACCTGATGATTTACTGACTCTGATTTACAAAGGAAGAAGTTAGGGCGTGCAAGGGCCAAATGGCCTATCGGACTCCCTTCTCAGCAGCAAAACTGGAAGAACATAATGCTTTCTGATGCCCTGACTCTTTCTACATGTCAAACCCTCCAGATTAAATATATCTTTAATAACTCAAATATTCTGTTTAAAATTTACCAAGCACTAGGCTTTTAAATATAACTAGGCCATAGAACATTACATTCTGAAGAGTCTTTACATATGATCTTTCAAACCTTCCCTTTTACATAGATAAGGGCCAGAGCTGAACTCAGCTTTCCTGGCTTTCGTAGTATTGCTCTTTTTATTCCAACCTAATTTTTCCTGTTTTCTTCCTTTCCCTCTGAAATGAAGAGGGAAATTTATTTTGCTTTTTTTGGGCAAAGCTGGAAGATTATGTTGCACTGCCATTTTTCTATCCTATAGGCAAGTGTGTATTTTGTATGGAGCAAATATATCCCACACCCGAGTTTAGAGTTGGTGGTTACTCAGCCACCACCAAGTCTTGTAGCAGAGACCTTCCAGAGACAGAGTAAGGTGCTAATATATTAGTTTATTTTTCTGCTTTACTCTCCCTACCAGTGTTCATTAGAATGTTCGTCAGAGTTGATAAATGCATTCCCTACATACAGACACACCTACAATCTGCCACTATGTCTGTTATAATCTATAGGAAGCAGAATGACTGCTTGCATTCCAATTATCCCTCAGGCTGTGTTACTTTGGGCTTTAATCTGTCTAAACCTTATTTCTTCATTATGACAACAGGCCTAAAAATAGTACCTACTTCAGAAAGTTCTATGGGCATTAAATAAGACAATCCATATAAAACACTCAGCCCAGTGACACTTGGTGAGTGTTCAATAATTGTTAGATATTATTTTCATTAGATTCACCAAGCTTGCATTGCCTTTCAAGGACCACAAGTGAGATGCCACACAGACTAGAAAGAGCTCATTATTTATGACATTACCGTCTTTTTCTTAAAAACCAAGCTAGCTGCACATCCCAGAAAGAGCCACAAGGAATAGCCCTCTCCACTAAGAGACAAACTAGAGAGTTTCAAGCATAATTCAAGTTGTATATTTTGGAGGTTTCCATAAATACATTAAGTTATTTTACAGACCACAGCCCACTGCTTATAAAATGCCCATTTTATCTGAAAGTATCCCTTTCCACGCCTTTTTCTGTCATTCAATTCCATTTGTTATAAAAACTCACAGCCTTTAAAACACAACTTTGAAATGTGCCTCTTGCACTGATTGAAGGCAAGAATAGCTCATGCGATTTGGTGATGAAAATAAGTAGAATTTACTTGCACTCTATATAGGCCCTCTATGTATTATGTGCTTTGTCAAGATGTATGACCTTGACAGCTTCTGTAAGTCCTTCAAATCTCTCAGTGGCTTTGTTAGGCTCACCACTGACAACAAGTTGAAACTTCCAGTGCTATCATTAAGGAAGTATGGGCCTTTGGAAACTGAAAAAGAAAAGTAGATCCAAAATATAGAGATTGAAAAAAAAAATTCCTCTACTGACTTGGAATTTGAAATAGGACAGAACATCTGTATGCTTTTGTTTCATTCAACTGTCTGTTATTCTTCTTCACTTATAACAACTCTGACAAAAAGGAATATTGGGCAGAGATTTGTATTGAATTCCACTCACATTGCCAGTTGGAAATAAGATAGAAGAAATAGGTCTGTTTCTCATAATACACAGTTAAGATTGGATGCACATCCAAAGGATAATTCATTAATTTCATTTACTGAATTTCAAGGCCATAAAGTCAGGATAGGATTTGCCATCTGACTATTGGAGACATGGAATTTATTATGAGGTATATGTAGCAGAATAGATTTTGTGTATGATGATGATATTACTGTTTTGATTTATATGAATCTTCAAGTTGTGTCTCTTTGTTTATCCAGCAATATGTATCTAAAAATGTCATCTCTAGTGAACATATTGTTGAGAGAGAAGCGGAAACATCTTTTTCCACCAGTCACTATACCTCAACAGCTCACCACTCCACCACCGTCACCCAGACTCCTAGTCACAGGTATGAGAATGAAAAAAAAATTGCATGGCACTACTCCAAGAGTCAATTTCTCTACATTGTCTTTTGCTCTCAGTGCCTAAGAAAGGAACAGGAAATACTTATGAGGCAAGGACATATAGTAAAATGTAAGATTTGGATAAAAACAGACTTTGGACAACAACTGGCTCTGCCACTTAATTGCTGTTTAAATCTGAGCCTCAATTTTTTCATTACTGAAAATGAAAATAATACCCACTCACAGGATTATTGTTCCCCATTAGAGATTGTCTTTCCTTGTGCCTGACTACTCATTGAATTATTGGTCTTAGGTGCTATGTAATATTTAGAAGTTGACTTCTTCCAATGATTGGATTGCCCTTAGAAATTCACATGAGAGCTCATTTGATAGCTGAACTCTAAATTCTTAGATGCCTTGGTGACCCACATGCATCCATATGCATGCTGCCAAGGGCAACCCTAGACCGCCAAATATACCTCATAGGCCAAGTGTCTCCTTAACCTAAGCTACTCAAGGACAGAGAGATTGTAAGAACACTTAGTATATACTGATATTTGGTATATATGTGTTGAACAGGTAAACAAATGCATAAACTGTATCCTTACAAAGCCAAACAAAATCAGGATCCTCGCTATAGCAAATAATAATTCTCTTCTGAGACAAATAATGTTATAGTGAACTGCTGATACACCAGTAAGTTAGAAATAGTTACCAGGTCACTTCCTTTCGTTTCCATTTTTGCATGTAATTAAAAAATATCTACATATATCTCTTTGCCTCTCACATTTCCAGCTGGAGCAATGGGCACACAGAAAGCATCATTTCGGAAAGCCACTCTGTAATCATGATGTCATCAGTAGAAAACAGTAGGCACAGCAGCCCCTCTGGGGGCCCAAGAGGACGACTCAATGGCTTGGGAGGCCCTCGCGAATGTAACAGCTTCCTCAGGCATGCCAGAGAAACCCCTGACTCCTACCGAGACTCTCCTCATAGTGAAAGGTAAAACCAAAGGGCAGAGCTACTACAGAGGAGAAAGAACCCCAGTAGAAGAATCCCCATGAGTAGACTCAAGATTTCCTTGGGAGAGACCCAAGGAAATCTACTCTGATGACAATCAGAGGCAGCAGTTACATGTTCTAGGCATTTTCTAGTTGATGAAGTCATCTTTTTGTTGGGCTGAAGTCATTTCATCTGAGCTATTGTCCCAGGGGCTGGTGGGCAACAGACTCTTAAGGAGCGGGAATGGTTTGATGTGGAAGATTCAGCTAACCTGGAGTTCTTAGGCTCAGACCCAGTTGGGATCTCAGTTTTCTCATTTGGGGACTTTAGAGAGATGGCACCAATGATCAATAAGGACCCTTCTAGAATTCTAATTTGCTGAGTCACCCAAACTCAGGTTGAGCTGGTCTCATGTTCTCATGTGCTAACTCCTTCTGACCTTCCACTCTCAGTTAAATTAAATCAAGGACCATCATGGGGAATAGCTACTTATGTTCTACCATATAATATTCCTTTTAGGAAATTCAAAGAAGGGATGAATAAATATTTTGTATGTTGCATCTGACAGTCTTCACATGTGGTTTTTAAAGCAGATATTGCTTTATTCCAGAATGTTTTCGCTTTCTTCTGGGGATATTGGATTGGATTGGATTGGTTGGATTGGATTGGATGGCGAGGCGAGGGTTACAGACAAGATAAAATAAAGAATAGCGGAAAGTAAAGTAAGGGATGCCTCATAGGAATACCTTATAGAGTCTCTTTATTCATTTTCACTTAAATTGGGAGAGACTTGTATCCAACCAGGATTTGTGGCACCTCAGAAAGCTGTTACTCATTTGTTTTCAGACTCAGAGGGATGTTGTTTGTTTGTTTACTGTTAACACCATCTCAGAGTAATCTTTGACCACTTGTGGAAAGGTTTACGTAATGTCAAATCCATAACTGGTTTCATGGGTGGAGATAAGGCTGATAGACTATTCCCACTCATAGACTGGCTGGGAAGTCCTTATAACAAAGGATGACTAGTTCTGGGCCAGTAGGTCCTATAGAACTAGCCGATCACTTCCTCAAGGGTCTTTACCCCAAAATGGTATTTCAGAGCTTTATAGAATTAGAGGTTCCTCTGTCATTCATCTGTGAAAACGAGGCATGGTCCAAAACCAATTTAAAACATTAGTCTTAAATACATATAATTGTATCTTTATGCATTAAGAAACTCTGTCTTAATCTAGTCTCTTTTGAAACCCAAGAAAGAGGTTAGGGATTAATTCTTCATCGCTACATGTGATATTTCTCTCCAAACGCTGACATTTACCTGCTGTTGTAGGCTTCCATGCATACTGCAAATATTATCTAGGACAAAAAATATACCCGAACCTTGAGAGCATGGAGAGCCACCTTTATATGTGGGCCGAATCTGGATTAGCATTTCTCAGAGAGCTTAAGTATCCCCAAAACAGAAGTTGAAGTGTTGAGCCCCAGGTATCTCCATCTCTAGACACTTTTTCATTTTAGATACAGCTAGACCTCACATCCATCTGACTCTGAATCATGGCTGAAAAGCAGGAGAGTTAATAGAATCCTGTTCCCGTTAGCTAGAGTTCAGATAATGGTGTCCTGTGTCATCACAGGTCATGTCAAATTAAACTCTGTGACATCAATGTGAAGAAAAGAGTCCTTTGGTGCTATGCATGGCAACATTTTTTATCAAACTTGAGAAATGTGACTCTGAATAAGTCACATCTTCCTCAGTGCTAAGTCAGGTCTTCTTGTTGTAGGGGAAAAAAGCACAATATGTTTTTTTAAAACGCACTCAGTGTCTTGACAATGAAATTTACTGAGCACTGTTGGATGTAACATGACATAAGGAAGCACAGTACAGCCAACCCTTGAGCAGTCACAAAAGCTAAGCCATAGATCGATGCAGCCAGGGGTTTTTGAAGACAGGGAGACCAGAGATTGGATGTACCTAGGAGGTCAACATAAGGTTCTCTCAGGCTTATTTCTGAATGTCTTGGTCACTGGGATGGAGAGTCGCAAAATAAATGTTAAGAAGTTGCATTTCATGGAAAAACTGAAAGCACACAAATGTGTTACACTGTTATCAGGAATAAATCTAAGTTACTATGCTCTTTTTTTTTTTATAAGACATAACCTTATAGCTGAGCTAAGGAGAAACAAGGCACACAGATCCAAATGCATGCAGATCCAGCTATCAGCAACTCATCTTAGATCTTCTTCCATTCCCCATTTGGGCTTCATTCTCTAAGACCCCTTGGCCTTTAGGAAGGTATAGTATCCAAGTAATACTTCTTTCCCTTCCAAATCCCTGCACCTTGGTCCTTGTAAACTGAAAGTTTTCCAGGACCTAGTGCCCTTTTGTCCTGACTCACACGCTTTTATTTAACATCACGATGAGACTGAAAATCCCCAAAGCTTTGATGAGTTAGGCAATGTAGCTGATCTTTGCATGTACTCCCATGAGGAAACTCTTGGTTACCTAATTTTAGATTCCAAGGGTGCCGAATGTCCTTCGCATTAAAAATCGAGAAGTAGACAACGCATAGAAATTCTTTGTTTTCTGATTCTGTAATATCATGAACTCTGTCCCCTTGCCCTCCCTGCTATATGCCTCTCATTCTGCCGCACTCATGCAGGGTATTCTGTGCTCACACAGGTATGTGTCAGCAATGACCACCCCGGCTCGTATGTCACCTGTAGATTTCCACACGCCAAGCTCCCCCAAATCTCCCCCTTCGGAAACGTCTCCACCTGTGTCCAGCACGACGGTGTCCATGCCCTCCATGGCAGTCAGCCCCTTTGTGGAAGAAGAGAGACCTCTACTTCTTGTGACTCCACCACGGCTGCGGGAGAAGTATGACCACCACTCTCAACAGTTCAACTCCTACCACCATAACCCCGCACATGAGAGCAACAGCCTGCCCCCTAGCCCCTTGAGGATAGTGGAGGATGAGGAGTATGAAACCACCCAGGAGTACGAGCCAGCTCAAGAGCCTGTTAAGAAACTCACCAGTAGCCGGAGGGCCAAAAGAACCAAGCCCAATGGCCACATTGCCAACAGGTTGGAAATGGACAGCAACGCAAGTGCTGAGGGCACTAACTCAGAGAGCGAAACAGAAGATGAGAGAGTAGGGGAAGATACACCCTTCCTGGGCATTCAGAACCCCCTGGCGGCCAGTCTGGAGGCAGCACCTGCCTTCCGCCTGGCGGACAGCAGGACTAACCCAGCAGGCCGCTTCTCGACGCAGGAAGAATTGCAGGCCAGGCTGTCTAGTGTAATCGCTAACCAAGACCCTATCGCTGTATAAAACCTAAATAAACACATAGATTCACCTGTAAAACTTTATTTTATATAATAAAGTATTCCACCTTAAATTAAACAATTTATTTTATTTTAGCAGTTCTGCAAATAGAAAACAGGAAAAAAAACTTTTATAAATTAAATATATGTATGTAAAAATGTGTTATGTGCCATATGTAGCAATTTTTTACAGTATTTCAAAACGAGAAAGATATCAATGGTGCCTTTATGTTCTGTTATGTTGAGAGCAAGTTTTGTACAGTTACTGTGATTGCTTTTCCACCGTATTTCAGCAAAACCTCCCATTTATTCAGTTTTCGCTGGCTTCTCGTGCATTGCATTATGATGTTGACGGGATGTATGATTTGCAAGACTTGCAACTGTCCCTCTGTTTGCTTATAGTAGCACCCGATCAGTACGTCTTATAATGGCACATCCATCCAAATACTCTTCTCTTTTGTACGAAGTTTTCTTTTGCTTTCAGTATATGAAATGAGTTGTGTCTACTCTGCCAGCCAAAGGTTTGCTTCATTGGGCTCTGAGATAATAGTAGATCCAACAGCATGCTACTATTAATTACAGCAGGAAACTGCATTAAGTAATGTTAAATATTAGGAAGAAAGTAATATTGTGATTTTTTTAAAAAAAAACTATATTCTTAATCAGAAGACAGCTTGCTCTTACTAAAAAAGAGCTACCATTTGCTTTGTTTGGGTTTATTTTTCTTGACAAAGAGCAACAGTTTGGGGGACAGCAGAGAAAACGAGTTCCGACTTGCTATCAGGGTAAATCCATCACCTTATAAAAGAACTCCACCTCACTTTCTGGGGGAATGACACAGCAGGTCATCTAGTTGAAAAATCAAACCATAGCTGAAAGAGGTGCAATCATTCCTGACTTGTGTTTTTCACTGATTTTGGAGCAAACGATTGGTTGTGTCTTATCAGCTCAAGAACAGACATGTTATGGCACACTTAGCGATTTGTCTGCAATACTTCTGCAGTGAAATATGCCTGCCGTGTGTGGTGGTGACTAGTCATCACAGGGAAGTAGTTCTGTTGTAGAATGAGTTCTGTCTAGAAGGAGTGAATGTATATAGAAGGCATAGGTTTGGAGAAGAGCTGTGTGACTTAGTTGCAATTTCAAACAGTTTTGTTGACCACTCCTTTCTCCTCATGATTTTTCTCTTGTTTTTCAATGTGCCTCGATCAGGTCTAACCATGCATTTTTGTCAGGAATGGCCAACGTGCATGTGATTTGTGATTAGCAAGAGCCTTCCACAAGTGACAATTTATCAGGGAATGTTGATAGCGTTGGAAAGTTTGCATCTTTACTTGCAGAAGTGACCCCATCTGTGTACTGACCTCTTAATCCGCAGACTGTATCATCTATTTCCCCCCTTCCTTACCTTTTGCTTTACTGTCACAAAACAGGATGAAGATGGGTCTAAACTTCGCATGTTCTCTGTTAAGTCCAAGGAAGGCCAATAGGTGTTAACATTTGGAACAAATGCTAATTCCGGAAAGTAAGGGGATTTAAAAAAAAAAAAAAAAAAAGCAGGCCCCATTTCATGCCCTGCCTGAGATCTGTCAAATCAGGCTAAAACTTTACTGATTCCCAGTGGCTTCCTGGGATCCATGGGACAAAATGGGAAACAGGTTGTCAGGGGCTTCAAAATACCAGGCGTGAAGTCAGCGAGAGCAACTGTTTCTTGTTTGCAGGTGAACTGGATTAGATTCTTCACCAAATTTCTATGTTAAAATTCATGGGAAGAAGTGACATGCAGGCAGTTCTTGGGAAAATGCAGGCTGGGCATGAGTCATGTCATTAAGCTCCTTTTCTGTTTCTACAACCTGCAGAGGTGTGTGTTTGCAGGTCCTTGAAATTACTCTGAATATTTGGTATCCTAAACCATCCTTCCTTATTCACATGCCACTTCTCTGTGCTCTTGGTTCTGTAGAATTAAGTAAGCTTATGGCAGGGGGAAGAAGGCAATCAACCCAAAGAGGTTCTTTAAATTATGCTAATATTACTTGGAAGGCCTTGGCTCATTCAGAGACTATGTCAATAAAGAACTTTCTACCATTAATGAAAAGTCTAAAATTTCTGTTTCAAAATTCTTTAGGTATTGGAGTATTCAGATGCCCTATTGTGGAGAATTTCAGGAATAAATGAAATCTTCTGCTGAGAGCAACCAACGCTTTCCTCAGTATGAAAATCGCTATGCATTTTCCGGTTGCAAATATATATGAACATTTAGGACAAGAGGAAATTTTATTTCCAGCTTGATTCTGGTCATTCAGAGAGGTGGCATATTAGCTGGGGCAGCCTTTTCACCTATAGAACAAGAGCTTGCCTTGGTAAGAAAGGCAAGCTGCCCCCTCAGGGCACTTGAGGCCACTACTGCCACCAGCTTTGCGATGCCTAGTTGCCATATGGCTCTCTCAACCATCGCTGTCTATAAACCCAGGCAGTGTAGTGGCAATCCAAGAAGGAGCGTGAACCAATGCTCCCAGCATGGGGCAAGCTTTCAGGGGTTTTCAGGGAGTGGAAATTGCCCAGAAGTTGGACAACAACTTTGTTTCCAGAGTCTGAAATCATATCCCACTGAGGGATAGCGCAGTATACGCGGAACTTCTTTTTCTCACTCGAGATTCCTTTTCTCCCTTCTTGCCTGGTATGACTTTTTGTTTGTTTTTTTCAAGAGTGCCTGGACAGCCTCATGCTTTCTACAAAATGGCACTCTGCCTGAGTCTATGTGAATGTGTCCCAAACACCAACAGACCATATCTTCCTTGTTTAAGTGTGACTGTCTTGATATAGATGGAGTTTATCCAGGGTAACTTGCTCATAATTATTCCTTTTTTTGGCCTGAGTTAAAAGGTGCATGGCTCACATTGGTGAAAATAAGGAAGGCCTGGTTTTATCTTTTAGTACTGGCTCCATTCCACCACCCACAGAGATTTCTATCTGCAAAGACCCGTGAAACACTGCAGAGAAATGTGGGCAAGAGGAAATGGCCACATATCACGAGTTCTATTATATATTCTTTTGTAAATACACATTGTACGTTACTTGGATGTTTTCCTAAATCATTTACTGTCTTTATGAGTTAATGTCAGTTTCTGACTCTCTCAACTTACCATGTAACATTGTAAATAACATAATGTCCTTTATTATTTATATTTAAGCATCTAACATAGAGTTGTTTTCATATAAGTTTAAGATCAATGTCAAAAATATATGGGTTTTTTTGTTTTTCTTTGCTTTAAAATTATGTATCTTTTCCTTTTTCTTTTTTTTTAAGAATAATTTATTGTTGAGGAGAAAGAATGTATATGTAATTGAAACTATTTGAAGAATGCACATTTGAAGGCCCCGAGGTACTGATAAACTAAAGAATTTATTATCCAAAATACTAAGCAATAAGTAATTGTGATTTATTTAAAGTTTTGTTCATCTTCCATGAAAGACATACTGCAATAAAAATGCTACCCTGTGGAGGCGTGGGAGTGTTGCTCAGCAGACTCATGTTCAGTCTGTTAGACCAGCACCTTTCAGCTGATGGCGACAGTTGTATTAATGTAGGAATGTGTTTGATGGGCCCCGTGATCATCTACTCTGTCTGTTGCTTTTGCCACAATGCCTGTTCTTTCATCATCTTCTGCCTGTTGGGTCTGCTTACCACTGCCTTCCATGTCAAAGGGCCTGCAAGCAAGCACTATGATGTCTTCTTCCCTTTCTCTCACATCGCCACCCCCCATAGGCAATAACATATCAGGGAGGACATTTTAGGGCATGATTGCCTGGATCCTGGCTGTTGACATGTTCTGTAATGACTGCAAGAGACTTATTCAGACTAATGGAAATGTCAATGTGATGCTCCCCTGCAGTCATGAAAGGAAAACCTGTTACCAGGGTTTAGGTAATCTGGTGGCCAGCAGGACCCAAAAGGCAGCCAGTCAGAACCTATGCTCAGCTTTCATATAGCTTCAGTAAATTTATTTTCCATCAGGCCCAGGATTTATTGATTCAGGCCCAGGATTTATTGATTCAGTTTTAAGAGAAGATAAGGCTAAGTTGGATTCTTTCCCCTCATTCTATCAATAAATCAAACTAAATGCCCATCTTACTGCTCAGGGAAGGGGCTATGCATGAGATATTTCCCACATTCTGAAATTTAGTCATAGAAATGAGGATATTACTTTTCTTATTGAAATTAGCCTAAACAAAAGCCATATTTTAACAAATAGGTATTTGCATGGGTGATGCTTTTTATATATTTCAAGCATTTAACTCATTATTCTAGATAAGATTAGGGCTTCTGAAGTATATGAAATAGAGTTCAACAATCCTATGGGGGTACATAGGGGCCTCCATTGGAGCTTGAGGGTTCCCTGATGCTTGCCATCAAAGTCCACCTCCATATACATGTGTGATTCCTACTACCTAGCAATAGCTCCACTGATGTCATTTCCTAAACAGTCTGGATATCTAAGAGATTCAAATAGTGGCCTTTGACTATACTAGTTATTATTTATATTATGAGTTTTTCAAAACAATTCAGAATCCTCATATTTGTGATTTGTGTCAACTTTGGTTTACACATGCACATACACAGGTGTGTGCACATGCACACATTTACACACACACACACACACACACACACACACAATTCCTAATACACCGCTATCCTGAAGCCATCACACTGTTCCATTCATTCAATCCAGTCAACCAGCCATTCAGCAAATCAGGGAGTGCATGAATATCTAAAAATTGAAGACTGAAACACTTCCCTGTGTCTTCAAGTTGAAACTGAGGCTTTGTCCACCCCTCAAATGGAAAATTACAAGCAGCTATCTTAGTAGCTTAGGTTAAAGTCAGATACCTAACATATATTGATAATTGAGGCAGAAGCCTATGGGGTGGACTGTGGTACAGAGAACGAAGAATATCTAAATATCTAGATTATTATTCCAATTCTCCATTCACTTCAACAGTATAGACTGGAATGTCAAACCCAGGCCTACATCTTGGCAGCCTAATATCTGGGGAAGACATCATTAGATTTCCCTGCTCTCTGCCCTGAAGATGAATGACAAAAGGACTTGATTTCAGGGATTTGGAGTTCAGTGAGGCAGTTCTGAAATCTAGAGATTTAGGATGCTGGAGGAAGTAGAATATTTTGTGACCTCATGGGAATAACTTTGTAGTCTATCTTGGGCTTGCCCTTTCTGACACAGAATAAAATAAATTGATGGAAACCATTCCTGCAAAAGATTGATCTGGTAGGCAATGGAAGTGCTTTCCATTTTTGCAAGACAGGACCATCCTGCTGCTACAGTAAGCTGCAATATTCCTCACCTTTAGAGCATTGTTGGACAGAGAAGTCAGACCTAATCCTGCATGTCCCTGTGGGCTCCTGCTCAGATCCTGGGACTGTCATTGTTGGACCTCTCTGGTGAGCTATTGTGTTTGAGCTTCAATGAGCTTCAAAACATCACTTGGCAGGGGGACAGCAGATGGATTTTGTTACCTGGAGGAAACCCATCATGACCTCCCTGATCTTCCCAAAGGCAAGCCAGGTGAGGGAGACCAGCAATTTATAAGAGGAGACAGAGAATGGGATAGTAGTTCCATCCTTCCCCCCTTCAAATGTACGTGCTGGGATAGAATTTGATGGAGGAAGCGACTCTCTTCCCACTCCACAACATATCAAAGGGGCTAGAGAATTACTTTCATAGATACAAAAATCTTTAATAGCTTCTGTATAGATTTGCTCATAGAGAAATAATCTAGCAAGCATAAATAATAATATTTTATAATATTTTATGGCTTAACACACTCTTTATCATTTATAATCCTCTTAAACCCATGGGATGTTGGTATGATAAATAATGAGGAAATTTTAGGTTCGGGAAAGTAAAAAATGTTTCCTGAAGCTACACATGTAGTGAGTTGCAGAGATTATAGTTGTACCCAGGTTTTCTGACTACAACTCCTATTTCTACCCACTGCACTCCTCCCCTTCCCGCTCCAGACTCAAATAAGGCTGTCCTTTACAGCCTTTTGTTGCATCAAGACAAGGTACCTCCAAAACCAAGTTTCTGTTTGAAAGAATATGAGCTCCTCTGGCTTTGGTTTAGAGTTACTCGAGAACCCAATTTGCCTGACTCAGTGACTATGTGCTTTTTTCTAAACATAGCTTTCTAAGGAAATGAAGTGTAGTCATGGGAATGAGTTCCCAATTTCGATGTGTAGGTAGCATCCTACAGAGAAAAGAGGAGGAGCTTGTAGTCAGCACTGTCCCCACCACTTAGGAGTTTAGCCAGTTTGGACAATTTTCCCCTCCATGCTTATTCCTTGACCACTAATATGGGAATCCAAGCAGCTCTACAAGGCTGTGGTGTGTAATGAGGATTGCACTTGAATACATGTAAGGAAGCCATACATGTTTAGCACATAGTCAACATCCAAATGCTATCTTCTATTTGCTTCTTCCTGGTTCAACCCAGGTTCTTAGGTTTTGGAGACTATATCTCTTAGTTCCAAATGACATATTTTACATCATGCAAACTCATCCAATAAACATGTTTGATCATTTCTCCAATATTATGTCAGTAAGCAAATTATTCTTTAATAACAACTGTATGTTAAGCAGCATAATCACTGAACAGCATTTAAAGTTGTAACTTAAGTTCTTTATTTTACGTTTGCTTCTTGTGTAGCCACACTGTTTCACATAAAGTCTGTAATTTTTAAGGGCTTCTTGCATGAGTGTTTCATTATAATTTCACAGAAATATACTGAAATATAACTCTTTGTAGAGTTTTCAGAATACCATTTTGAACTTCATTTCAAATGTGTAGTAAGACAAGCAAAACATGATCCTAAATTGATAGGATGTTTCTGCACATCCATTTTCCTTACTTTGCACCCAGGATATCCTGATATGTTCCTTTTTCTTTTCTTTTTTTCAAAAAAATATAATCTAGGCAAAATCTGCATAGTGATAAAGTGAGAGGAGTCAGGTCTCAAATTAACTCCTATGTGGAAAAAACCACATTGAGTATGGATATTTCTCACCCTTTCCTGGATATTTCTCACCTTCTCCTATTATCTGTCCAATAAGTGATTCTCCAGGTTCCACTTACTCTTTATGCATAAAACAGGATTCTTTTTTATGAATAATTTATGGAATGAAGCTTTTTGGATTCAATACTTTAAAATTTCATCCTACATTAAGGATGGTGGGTGACTTAATCTCATGATATTCATCATCAGGCTTGTGGTGTAGTTAATATAGTTCTATTGTTAATGGTAAGAGAGTCTAATATAATCCCCATACATTATCCTTCATTTAAATAAAATTATATGTCATTGAAAATAATCCTAACTCTAGCTCCCTAATAAGTAAGGATATTTCCTTCTTTTTTAAAGAGATAAGCTAGATGTAAACTTTGTAACATGTTATTAGTTATCATCAGAGTTAAGCAAACACTTGTGTTCCATTCTGTGACTTTCATTAGGTGGATCCTTCTTGCCCTATGCCCGACCTTGAGCCTTTCTCTTCAAGAGGGTTGGGGGCCCCAGGCTGGGCAAGTTTTCTAGAGCACTTCTGGTTTCTCACAGCGAGCCTAATTTCCATCTTCTTTGCATGAAGGGGCTTCATCAGAATGTCCTTAAGCAGGTAATAAGGTAACAAAACAAATTCCCATTATACCCAAGACCCTCTCCACCATGAAAAGACAGAAAATGCTGTGTGTCAGAGCCAATTCCAAGTACCCAGCTTCGTTCCAATCATGAAATGATTCTGCCCTCCCGCAAGAATCTCTCTGTAAAGATCCCATCCTTCCTTCAAAGTCACCTTGTTTTTGCAAAATAGAGACCTCCCTTGGTAACTCAGTTTAGAGCCCCCTCATCCCTGTGTTTTGAAAGACATGAAATCACAGGGCAATATAACTTCACATTTGGAACAGAAATTAGGACTTAAAGTACCTTTTTAAAGCTGAAAAGTTTTTCTTGATTTGTTGTAGACCCTTGAAAAAATTTTAGGGCCTAGTCAGAGAGCATTATATCCTTTTCGGTATTTGCTTGACCAAAAACTCTTTCATAACATGAAAAGGTACTAATTCCCCATACATTCTGAATTCTGTCCTGTTTGTCTGAGGAGTTAGATCTCTAGCCATGAGTGTGAGGAAAAGGACCGTGGGCCCTTCCTATTAAGCTGTTGATGCACAGTTAATGGGATTTAGGGTACCACTCAGTGTCAAACTCATGTCAGTTATCCAGCAAAGGAACAGCTAAGGGAAAATATCCCTTTGTCTGATTAGGAGAGCCACAGGTCACCCACCGAGCAAGCCAGAGCCTGAGCAATATTCTAGATTTCTTCCTACACATCTAACTGGTGACAATGGTGATTGTACCACTGACATGTCAAACAAATCCATCCTCTCTCTCAGAGTCCCACCACTTGTACCATTGGCACTTCTTCCTCTCTCACCAGGCTCCATTAGCCTTCTAACTGATCTGCTTCCTTTAGCTCCTCCAGGACATCTTTCACATTTTGCTGGAAGTTTCTCTCTAACTCACAAACCTTATTGCACATTCTCCTGGTTATAACTCTTTCATGGCTCCTCATGAAGCTTAATGCCTCAGCTTGTGATAGGATGCTCTTCACAGGCTGGCTTCTGCCAAACTCTTGTAGCGCCTCCCATGTCACCTTTTACACCATCTTAGAATTTCCTATTCTCCAAGTATGCCACACTAGTGTTTGTCAAACTCTACTCATTGGCGTACCAACTTCATGACTATTACCATATTCATGTACCACCTGTATTATTTTTTGCATATTGTTTTTTTAAATTGATTGCATTTTTAACTAAAATAAAGTCATTTCAAATGAAACTTTGTATCAGTGCTATGAGTGGAAAACTTCAACCAGTTGCCATAATCAAAATAAAGCTGTAGAAGTAAATAAAACAAAATGAAACAGTGTAATTAAATTCTAACAGGATATTGTTGCCTGCTAAAGTATCTGAGCTGAAAGGTCTTTTCTGACAAAGGGGGAGCTCAGCAAGTGTTGGTGAAGTTGGAAATATATTCAGAAGCACAGAAAGATTTATCCTTTGATTCAGCCAGTATTGAGAGGGAGTTGACAGGAAGTCATTTCTACTGTTTTATTCAATGTTATTTAATGTTGGATAAAATCATTAATGTTGGTAAAATCATTTTGGATGCAACAGTCACCTCCAGATCTTACACAACCATGCAGTGCTGTGCTTGTTACATAACCCTGCCCTTCGTTTTACATTCTCCCGATTTATCTTTCTTTTTTTTTTTTAAGATTTCATTTATTTATTCATGAGAGACACAGAGAAAGAGGCAGAGACACAGGCAGAGAGAGCCCGACATGGGACTCGATCCCAGGTCTCCAGGATCACACCCTGGGCTGAAGGCAGCGCTAAACCGCTGAGCCACCCGGGCTGCCCCTGATTTATCTTTCTGACGAACTTCCTTTATGCCTTCTGTGGATGGAGACAGTGTCCTTGTCTAGGAATCCTTGCATGACAAATATCTGCCTCTTTCACGTGAAAAGTGCTTTTCCTTTGCTGTTTCATGATATGTTGTCATGCAAGCTTTTCTATAGTATTTTCCATCCAGTTCACAACTTCTACCAAACTGAAGTCCCTCCCTTAGTAGACCATGTACTCTCTGAGGGCAGAGACATCGTCCTCTCTGTGTGTATTCATGCCTGGCACAGTACTTGGAACATGACAGATGCTGGATGTTTAGAGAATAAATCACTGGCAACTAAAGACTTAGGGTATTTACATGGGTTGGGCAGCATGTGAGGAATCCAGGTGACCATAGGCATTTTTAAAAGCTAAGAGTAAGAAATGAGTAATCTGACTAACTTATTTTACTTAGCATACTTGTTGTGAATTGAGAGGTTTCATTCTTTTTATGGCTGAGTAATATTCCACTATATATATAATGTATTCCATTATATATAATGTAGTCCATTACATATATACATATGGCATTTTATTTCAATGTAATATTCCATTATATATAAGGTACATACATTGATACATTATGTATATCAAATATACATATCAATATACAAAAATATTCCAATATATATAATATATGTGTATGTATCTCATGTCTCCCTTATCCATTTATCTATGGATAGACATCTGGGTTACTTCCATATAATAACAAAAAAAAATTGTGAAGGAAAAAGAAAAAAGTAATCAATAAGTTGCTAAGACAAAATCAGAAACATATAGGGGTGGAAACAAGTTTGCTGAATCATGGTTAAAAAAAAAAAACACACACACACACAGGATCTAAGGGACGGAAGCTCCATGGCTCAAACTAGATTTGGTAATGAACACATAACTATCTCAGATACACTTTGCATTTCATTTTAGCTCTCTCTCTACTCAAGAACTCTGGCTTAAAATCAACTTTTCACATCTGTTCTCCTTTCATTCCTCTCACTTCTTAGAAAGATCCTGAAAATAAAGCTTTTTAACTGGTTATTTTTCAATCTGGTCATTCTTATAATGGAGCCTCCCATAATGACCACTGCATTAAAACCAACCTGAGTCTCCAATCTCCTGAAAGTTTCAAAGGGAGCCTTGCACATAACAAGCTTTCAAAAGTTTTTTAAATCCACAACTGGAGTAAAACATATAAAAGTAGTGTGCTTTATAAGTCAGTGGAGTACGTAATTTGTCATTCTAATTAGAATGATGATTTGTAAGACCGAATACTCAGTGATATTTTCTGGATGATTCTATTTCATAGTTAGGTCTAGTTTGACAGTTGTGAGGAAGAGGAAGGACATCTACCTTTTACCATGTAAGACTTCCTTCCCTAAGAGTTTGTCTAGTCTAGAAATAGTCTTCTTTATTCATTAAAAGAAAGATCTGCAAACTCTCTATTTAAAAGTAATACATTTTTTGTTGTGTTTAGCCAAGAGAGGATAAAGCAGACTTCAAATTTAGTTATCCAGAACTTAAAAGAATATAATTGTGTAATTATTTGAATTTCATGGCTGATATACTAGACCAATAATATGGCTACCTGCTGGCCAATGGAATTGTATGCAATTTTAAACTTCAGAGGAAAGACAGTTGGATTGGAAATGAATACCAAGAGTTCTGACATTTCAGTGCAAAGGTTATCACAGGCATTGAGCTGATCATAGCTGCAGTCCCTGCCAAATTCCATGCTTGTCAGACCCAGAACTAGTCTCCCATTCAGTGACCCTAAGGCACTAGCACTGTGGATAGCATGCAGGATAACAGGTACCACATTGCTCCTGATATTGTCATTTTCCACCTCAAATGCACCAGCTTGACAAGGAGATATTGAAATAAGATTAACTCAGGAGCTGGCACATGATCAAATGTATGAGACCAAAATATCCTTGTTTCAAGGCAAGGTTAGGACTTTTTTGTGGGATATTTTGTTGTTGTCGTTTTTTGTTTTTTATAAGATCAAGGTCCAAGAGATTCAAAATAAGCCACCCGGATGATTATTACTCCTCCCTTTGAATTCACAACTTGAGCACGTCAAATGATTGAGCTTGCCCACAATCACCCAGCCAATAAGATGAAGCCCTAAAAAGAGGAATGGACAATTCTCCAGCTATCATTAATTAGGCCATTCTGCTACTCAGACTTTAAAGCCTTGGAAGAAAATTTGAAGTTTAGAAAAGGCCTGCTCTTTCTTACCCATATTCATATATCCACATTCCACTTTAGAGGCTGAGAAATCTTTGGCATCTTTTTCTAGAATCTACCTACATTTTGGTACAAGAATTACACAGTATAAAGAACATGAATTCAGAAACCATGAGATCAAGGTATGAATTCTTCCTCTTTTACTCAGGCAATTTGGACAAGATAACATCCCTGAGCTTCAGATTCACTATGTGGATTAAATGAAATGATTATTGTACGTGCAAGCTCAAGCATGGTGCATTGCCATTTAGTAGGGGCTCAGTAATATGACATCTTCACTGTTTGCAGATTCCTTGTGTAGGAAAGACAGTTTGTCTGACAGTGAGAAGAGGACAGTGCTCCCAAGCTTAGCAGCCTCACTGGCTTCAGTGGTCCTGCCCTGCCTATGCAGAACTCTCTTAGGGAAGCTGGCTGAGGATGTGTCACCAGAAAGCTGGATTCTGGGCTCTGCTGCCAGGATGAAGTCCCTTCTTGCTCACCCGACTACACCAAAACCCAGGAAGACAAACTTACTCAGAAGCAAGTTAGCCCTGAAGAGCAACTGTTTCTTTTTCCCTGAGAATAAAACAATTTGACAAATTCAGAAACAGAAATGAGAGTTCGCTCTATCCAATTAGCAAGAGCTAATTTAGCTTTCAAGGTCATTGTGCATGGTGTACTCCTCCTTCACATGCCTAGTGCTTTGGCTCCACTCCCTCTCTGGTTATGTGGCTCAGCATCTCTGCACACATTGTAAACAAGCACAATTTCCATTTTTAGGATTTTGTCTCCTGGTGATGTGCCGCAGTCCCCACTTTTAGGAAATTGGTGCTTGGCAAAAGATGAAAGGCTTCACAGATTATGAAGGTTATGGCACAGTTTTCTCCTGCCTTATGACTTAATTTAATTAGATATCCTATAATAGCTCAGCAGCAAGATTGTGCTGCTGCAGAATGGGCTCCAATTTGCCCACCGGCAACCAGAAGAGCTCAGCAAATATGAAATATGCTGGATGACTCATCAGCGGATGGGAAATGCAGTGATACTTTTTCTGTTTCAACAGGATCAAGCAAGGTGACTAAGAAAAGCTTCCCTGGGAATACACACCTGGTAATTCTGCCTCTACAAGCTCATTTTAAAATATGCTTGCAGTGAAGTAATCAGCAAAACCACTGTCTGACCTTGAAATTATTCTGTGGCCAGTGGACCTTGAAGACATCGATGGAGATAACTAAATCCAGCCATCTGGGACCTTGATCAACTATGTCCCCTACAGAGCAGCCAGGATCTTGGTTAGCAGGAAGCTTCTTTAACGCATGAGGCCTAAGCAGAGAAGTTGAGGAGACCATGATGCTCTTTCTTGTTTCTACAGATGCCAAATTGCCTTGTGCTTTCGCAAGATTTCAGACGTGCACAATTTCTGATATTGATTATCCTTGCTGGGGACACTGAGCTTCACAGAATTTGTTTTTCAAACATGAAACAAACTGAGGCCCTGAAGTCACAGGATGTCTTGGCAGCTACACTCAGGCTGGATAGAAATGTATCCCTGAGGGGGCATCACACTTCTCTTGTTCCATTTCACTTGCTAGCTTCAGAAGGCAAAGATGGAAAGATAACTGGTTGGGTGAGGGCCATGTGACAGGGATTGTCTGTTAAGATGGAGATGAGGAAAGCTTTAGACAAGTGACAAATGATCTCTCGAGAGACCTGTAACTAGTCATCCGACTTATGAAAAGGACTGCAGCCTAAGACACGGTGCCAGAGATGGCCCAAAATACAAGGCTTACTGAAGTGGTCAATGGGTATAGTCACTTCCCCTCTGGAGGATTGGAAACCTAGTCTTCTCTATTCCTCCTCCAGACTCCCAGCCATGACCACACTGCTTACCCATTAGAATCAATCTCCAGCACTGTCCTGCAACCCTTCCAGGATCAATCCTCAAAGAATATGGATTCAAATCTCATTCATGTACACAAAGCTCATTCTTTCATTCAACAAATGACATGCAATGAATGATGCTGGGCTAAGAACTGGTGTGCAAAGAATAAAATATGTCTCATTTAAATACATCTAATTCTTCTAAGAAAGCACACCCTAGTTCTGGAGACTAATGCATAGGCAGCTGCAACGTGTTGGGTCAAGGAGGTCGT